CAGGCCGAGGCAGAGACAAAGGGAAAGGCTCGAGCAGAGGTAAGAACGAGGGGAAAACTCGGCCGCAGGCAGATCTAGAAGCAAGAATGGCAGAGGGCGGTGTACATCTAGCGGCGGCGGGAAAAGCGAAAAGGCTGGAGGACCAGCCATTCTCAGACGTGGTGGCAATGCCACCCCTCAGTCTCTGCCGCAGCATGTCGCCCATGGACCTCGACGTCCTGTTCAACACAGGGCGTGGCCGGCTCCGGTGGTACATGGGTGACTTGGCCCAGCGGGTCGCTAGCGCACCCCCCGCTGGAACCATAGCCAGGCCTCGTAACTTTTTGTTGAGGCGGTACCATCGGAAACGCGTGTTCTGTAGCAGCCGAGCCCTGGCCCTGACGGCCCTGGGGGACATCGGCTCGAACTTATACATTTGGGAACACAGTATTCGTCAGCGCATCGCGATGTCCGCTTCCGAAGCCAGCCAGTGGCGCTTCCTCCGCTCCTGGCGCCCCGTGCCGCAACCTTGCCCGATGTCTTTCAATCTTGCAGTTGAGAGTTCCATCCAGAGAAATTAACACAATGTGTTTGAGGAGTGCAGACGTGTATGGCGTCGGGTTTCGTCCCTCGGTCGCCCTTCTAAGACGAACGGGGTGGCGAGTCCAGCGCTGGATCTGCTCTGTGTGTCCCGAGGTGGCGCGTGCATCGCCGGTTTCTCTGTGCTACAAAAGCCCTTCGTCCAAAACGAAATGCCCCGATTGTCGGCTTCTCATCATTCCGCTCGCGTAGCATGACACGAAAAATGCTTGGTTGGAACGATGCTTGATCAATGCGAGGTTGCTCAGAACGTTGAGGACGAATATTCGAGCAAGGCCCTTCTTCAAGATCCTCGCTTTCTTCTCGCTCGGTTATTTTGTGGCCTTGCGCTAACTGTACAGACTCCACGAACCGCCAGGGCAGGTCATGTGCAGGGCGCTCCATTGCAGCTCGCGTCGGCCTATGCTCCCCAGTGTGCGCTGGGTTGCACGGATACGCAGGCGCGTGCTCCAGTCGATACCGCACCTGCCTGCCGACGCAGAGCAGCTGCAATGGCAGCTGTCGGCACTTGTGCTCCCACAGGGCTGTGTGTTCTGCAAGTTCGGCGCGAATGCGGCATTGAAAGCTGCGGTCGATTTCGCGACGACATCTTGTGGATCAGGTTTAGGCCCGACTGGCTCCAAGAGATATTGTTGAGCATGCGATCCACTGCTTTGAGTCGACAATCGATTCCAGTTCGCTCGATCATTTCTGTTCTCAACTTGTGGATTTGCAAATGGGGACCATGACGCCGTGGAGCACGCTGTCCATGTGAAGCCCGCGTCCGCGTGGGTACCGCTGTGCGACTCCTTGACGCATCCGTCACATGTAGACGCGTCTTGGCCCAGAGCCTTTGAGAAACGAATGCGTTTTAGATGCGCGTGCCGCCGCATTGCCGATTCCCTGGTCGCTGCTTTCAGAGATTGTCCCATGAAGTTTAATCCGCACCACATACATTTGAAAGATCATGACGCGCCGTCGTCTATGGCTCTTTCCCGCTTCCGACCGCGGGTTCCACCCAGCAGCGTCAGCGTGCCGTGTAGGTTCGAATGGGTTGATGTGCGCAGTTCCAGGGTAATTGAATGCGCATTCGACCAGTGGAACCAGACGACCACCTTGGCTTCCGTTCGCGATGTGCCCCGCAAATTAGGTGGAAGGCGGGGGTTTGTTATCTTGCCCGCACCCTCACGGAGTATCCGCAATAGGATGGTGATGAGACTTGCTTGTTTCTGATCCATTTTATTTTTATCTCCACCAGCAAGCTGAGCTCTGTATCTTGCATCGCATAGAGCACTGATAATCCGAGGCCCCACCCCATGATAGCTGAGTGGTGGGCCGCGCATAAAAGCATAACACGTCCGCGTCCTGAGCCAGTTGCTGTCCTCATTTTCTTTGCTTCCTCGTCTTCTGAGCTTCCTCGTTGCCCTCGCCGTTCTCCTCAGTTTCGTTGTCCTTATTATTATGTTGCTCATTCTTCGGCGCTCATCTTGCTCCTGCTCATGCTAGCTGTGCTTGATGCTCCTGTGCTTATGGTCATGTCCTTCTACTCCTTTTTCTCCTCCCTCCTCCTTCTCCTCCCTCCCGCTCGTTATGCCTCACTTCTTTTTCTTCCCCTGTCCTTTCCTCCTTTCGTGGAGATTGGCGCAAAGAGGACAACATGAATGGCGGGTGGTGGGGCCAGGCAGGCAGTGATGGGGTGAGCTGGAATGGAAGAGCTGTGGGCACTTTTGGCACCCATTTCTCGGCAACTCGGTAACGCTTCTGGTACCGCGAGGTGCTACCCGAGGTGTTACGGAGTGCCGGTCTTCGTTGGTCGGTCGTCACCCTCGACAGACACCGCCCCGAAGAAAGGGTCGCGGGTCCGGTTTTAATCTATTTACGGGTCGTGGTTCTGAGTATCGCGGGGGGGAGGTCGTATTTGCTTGTTGCGATGAAGAGATCTTTGAAGGAATCGGAATTCGTGACACGGTCTTTTTTGGAATCGCGCTTCGTAGTGCAGTTCTCATTGGGGAAGGGATCCAGAATAGGTCTCAGCTCCCGCGAACGCGGCCTCCTCTTCCTCGTGATGCTCTTCAGCATCGCCGCCTCCTCGTGCCATCCTCTGCTTCCTCCGCTTTCTCCCCGTGCTCCCTCCTTCCCCCTCCCTTGTTCTCTCTCCCTCTACCATGGCTCTTGATTCCCCGCCTCCTCTTATTCGATGGACCAATGTACCACGACCGCTACTATAGGTAGGACGGTGGAGAAGGAAGGATGGGGAGGTCCTCCTCCTCCTCCTCCTCCTCCTCCTCTTCCTCCTTCTCCTCGTCGTTCTCCTCCCCCCCCTCCTTCTCCTCCTCCTCCTCCGCCTCCTCCTCCTTCCTCTCCTGCCCATGGTGGTGGTGGTGGGGAATCGGCCCCTCTTTCTTGGTCCTCTTGGTCCCCTCTCCCCGCCCCCTGCTTGCCCTGCTCCTCCCTCCCCCCTCCCCCGACGCCCCTTCCTCGCGCCGTCGCGCCTCCCGACCCCCGCGGTGCGGCCCAGCGAAGGTGCCGGACTCGGAGCTGCTGCTCCTCTCCAAGAAGTTTGGGCTCCAGCCCTGGAGCTGCGGCGGCCACTCCCCCCCCCCTTAGCGTTGGCCAGATTCTTCATTCATTAGAAACGACCAGGGATTCCTGATACAGTTGGCTTTTTGGCATTGCATGTTGCTGTGTCGCCCCATGCTGGTGCATCATTTGCTGCAGCGCGCGCGTGACACACTGGTGTCGCCGAGCCGTTGGTCACATTAGCTTTAATGGGTCAGGTTAGTTTTGGCGCAGTGTCGACAGGGCCTGGATCAGTTTCAGTTAGGCATTTGCCACGCTGTTGGTGGGGGTTGTACCCACCCCTCCCTCCGCCCTCCCCTCCTCAGGTCAGTGGGCCGTGCTTCCTGTGGACGCGTCGGCAGAAAAGCACTTGCCAAGTGATGTCGGTGCGCCAGAGTGCGCCCCGGATGCAGTTACGACAGTCCGCCAAACGAGTTGTAGCAATGATGGAGGATGATAGGATAGGCTGTCTCGTACACGACTCGGAGATCACATTGTTCATGACATTGTAATTCCAGTCGGATCGCCGTATAAGATCGAGGTCGGTTCGGGGAGGGTACCCTAGTGCTCCTCGTGTCTGTTGGATGTCCTTGTGCATCCTGGGGAGGGTAACCTTGTGGATGTTTTGTCAGTTTTGGCCGACGGAGGGTCTCATGCTCTCGCAGGATGTTCTTCTGGCCTGGGTCCGACTGGAGGCACATGTGGCGTCATCCCAGACCCTGACTTCTGCCGATCTGATGCTTCCGTCCTCGGCCCCAGATGTCCCGGCCGCTTCACTAGAGGTAGCTGTTCGCCCCGTATCCGCTTCTGGTGGCCCCCGTGCCCAAAAACGGCCCCCGAGGACCGAGATCCAAGAGAACGTGCATCGCCGATACATCGGCGATGCATTGGCGATGCGGCGCGATCCTTCGACCCCATCTACTCGGGCCCCATCGAGGATGCCTCGAATCTCCCGTGGTACCTCCAGGAGGCCCAGGAGGGGAACATCGACGCAGACACACACACACCAACGTCGATCCTCATGAAAACGTTGGAAAATATGGGCAGCGAAGGGGAAGACGAGAGATAGGCGAAGTTGGGGAATTCTGGGATTTGTGTCTATTTATATTGTGAAGGCCTTACGGCCGGTGCCGCCGACCCAGAAGGACGACGACGACAACAACGACAACGACGAGCTGATGACCCTGCCGCAGGCTCCAGACATGGGGCGGGCAGTGGTGGGAGAACGAGGAGGAGCAGGAGGAGGAGGAGGAGGAGAAGGAGGAGGAGAAAGACGAGGAGGAAGACGAGGAGGAGGGCGGAGGAGGAGGGCGGAGGAGGAGGAGGCGGAGGAGGAGGAGGAGGAGGAGGAGGAGGAGGAGGCGGAGGCGGAGGCGGAGGCGGAGGCGGAGGAGGAGGAGGAGGAGGAGGAGGAGGAGGAGGAGGAGGAGGAGGTGGAGGAGGAGGAGGGGGTGGAGGAACGAGCGGATCGAGCGGATCGAATCGGTACGCGATGCCCGTCGCGCCGAGGGCCGCCTGGCGGCATCGGCCCGTCCCCGCGCTGTGCCAGGCAACCTGGAAGCAGATTTCTCTCACTCCCGAACTTCTCGCACGAGCTGATCTACTGTAGCTGAGAGTGGCCCATCCGAGCCAAGCGGCAACAGACCCTGCTGCCACTGCCGATCTTGATCGCGCATGAGCTGAACCGCGAACTGTTACTCAGGACGTCCGTTCCTCGCCAGGGCTGCTTTCGGAGTTGACCATGGCCCAGATCACAGTCTGAACCACTCAGCTCGCGCGGTCTGACACAATCCGTCCAGCGGACTGAGACTCTAGCCATGCTTCATCTGGTCGCCACTGCTGAACGGCCTGTTTACATTTTCGTTGACAGCCAAGCGGTTGTTAACGGATTCGAGGACCCCCCTTCAGCGGTAAACCACCACAGCGCGTGGGTGCCCATGCCGACATTTGGCAGAAGATCCGCCGTGTCCTCCAGGCCAGTTAAGACATGTTCGTAGTCCAGTAGGTAGAAAGCCATCCAGGTGATCAAGGCATCGGCGAGGGGTGTATCACGCCGATCGCGGGGTGTAGCACAGCGGACCACAAAAGGCTCCAATGACGCTGCCCAAATTGCGACACCAGCTTGTGGGTGCCTTCCACAGTTTCGGCTGCCGCTGTCTACGACTGGAGTCGCTAGACGCTTGCCCGGCCAGACAGGAGGGCGGGTGACTCGAGGGCTGAACTCCGCAAGACGATGCCCAACCTTCGCACCGCTCGCCAAGGCGGCCACGAGCCGCCAGGCTGACCAGGCGGCCCCGTTCACCCCGACGGCCCACCACGGTCCGACTATTTCGATCACCCCAGAGGAAGAGGAGGAGGAGGAGGAGGAGGAGGAGGAGGAGGAGGAGGAGGAGGAGGAGGAGGAGGAGGAGGAGGAAGAGGAGGATGAGGAGGAGATCCTTGGATGGGCTTGCTCGACGACTTTGGTGGCGAGGAAGAAGACCCGCCTGGGCACGCGTGCCAATGAAGACATTCCAAACGCGCAAGTGCAAGCCGCCTGCGGTCAACAGGATCATGCCGCCACTGCCAGTTCCCGTCGCCACCCGGCCATCTCCCCCCAGCAGGGCATGAGGAGCGAACGGCCAGTGACCAACGACGGAGCAGCGCCCAGTGGGACGGTGACCTGGTGAACAGACCGAAGGCAGTTCCTCGCGCGGCACCTCTCAGCGGCCAGACGATAGCCAGAGGGTGACCGCGAAAGGGTTCTCATCGCTAGCATCAATGCGCTGTAACAGTCGGTCATCACGTTGCCCAGTCTTTCCAGCACCAGGAGCATTCATCTCCGTCGTCTGACAGGTTCCACCGAACACAGGCTGCCTGGGACGGCCTCCAGCAGGCCTTCCGACCTGCCGCTTCTTTTGGGGCGTCCCTCCAGGAAAGTCCGCAGGCAGACCTTGCCGCTCGACGCGCGGCGCACCAGTGCTAGCGCCCACTCCTCTCCTGTGGGCTCTGTGAGCAGTTGGCACCTGTTCCGTTGCTCTGGTTTTGGGCCGCCGCGGGGGATGCCCCAAGGTGGCGCCGTCGTTGTCAGGGCGCCGCATCACGCAGGCCGAAGCTTGTGTGCAGCCGGCGTCTCTCTGTCCGCGAGCGTGCAAATGGGGCGAGCCTCGCTATTTTCACCACTTCCCTTCTTTTGTTCTCCTGTCGGGGTCCCCACAGACCGCGCCAGGGGCGGAGGGCAGTTTCCCAACCCCTGCTTCTCATGCGGCCCCTCCCGCCGCAAGAGGTGGGCGCGGCGGGGTCGAGTACCCTGCGGGCCCGGACGGCCACTCCGCCCGAACTGTTGCGACCCCTGCTTCTCTCTGTCCGCCTTTCTCCCCCCCTTCCCCACTCCTTCCGCCATCTTCCCTCTCTCAAGGAAGAAGCAACTGCACCAACATAAACTATCGGATCTCCGTTCGGATTTCTCGGATCTGCTCTGGACTCCTCTGCCGGCGCCTCTTGCGTCGCCCCTGGAGGAATACGCGCGCCAGGGAGAGGGGCACAGCGCAAATCGGTTCATTCCGCGCGGACCTCCGAACGCCCATGTTTATGAATTGTTCTCGCCCTCATCCCCCACCCCTCGGCGCGGAGCGGGGCGGGCGCCGAGGCTGGACCGTGAAGCGGAGTCCAAGCTCAGCGACGTGCTCGCGAAGTACGACAAGGAGAAGCGCCGCGAGTACATGGCGGATCTGGACAAGTGCACCGGGCACGATGAAAATCCCCAGGGTTCCAAGGCTGCGATGAGAAATCGCCACGGGCGTTTTGAGGATTCGTCCCCCCCATCCCCTCCCCCTCTACTCTCATTTGTTTCGGCGCCCAAGGGGTGGCTTCAGAGCCCCAGTGCCGCACTCAGAAACGATTCGCGGCGAGATGCCCCTTGGGATGGGGCGAAGACCTCCCGAGGCCCCCCTCCCATCCTGTCGCGAGCAAAGTACTCCTGCTGAGCGCCTTGCCCTCCGCGGGGGGGGGGTCGTGGTCAGCATCCCGCCCGGGGGAAAAAGCAATTGGGAATCAGGGACCCCGCCCGCCCCTGCCGATACGGGTGAGGGGTGGGGGGAGGGTGAGGGGGAGGACAAAAGTGGAGCAATTCAGGAGGAGGAGGAGGAGGAGGAGAAGGAGGAGGAGGAGGAGGAGGAGGAGGAAGAGGAGGATGAGGAGGAGGAGGAGGAGGCGGAGGAGGCGGAGGAGGTGAAGAAGGAGGAGGAGGAGGAGGAGGAGGAGGAGGAGGAGGAGGAGGGAGGAGGAGGAAGGGGGGGAGAAGGAGGAGGAGGAGGAGGAGGATGAGGAGAGGACGGAGGAGGAGGAGACGGAGGCGGAGGAGGAGGCGGAGGAGGACGCGGAGGAGGAGGAGGAGGAAATGGAAGAGAAAGAGGAAGAGGAATCTGACAACGAAGAGGAGGAGGAGGCGGAGGAGGCGGAGGAGGCGGCGGCGGAGGAGGAGGGGGAGGAGTACTTAAAAGACGAAGAAGACGAGTACTAGTAAGAAGACGACCATGCAACTTAAAACCAACACTGAAAATAAGCAACTTACGAATGCATATAACACCAGCAATAATATCAGGACTCAAAATACTAAGAATAATACCCATACGTAGCACCCCGCAGTTGCGGATAAGATTGAGGGGGCGGCGAGGACGTCGTCAGTCTGAGAGGCTCTGAAGAAGCCCACCGCAAGCGCCTGAGTTTTTGAAATTATGCATTGGCGAGTCACGGGGTGGGTCACGAGTAGGTCGCGGGGGATTCGGGGGCTGGGTCGCGGGGTGGGTCGCGGGCTGGGTCGCGGGGTGGGTCGCGGGTGGGTCGCGGGTGGGTCCCGGGTGGGTCGCCGAGGGGGCGACGACAACAAACAACAACAGCAACAACAATAGCAGCAGCAACAACAACAGCAGCAAGAACAACGCAACAAGCAGAATCCTCACCATGGATCCGCACTAGAGCAACGCGCACAGGGACAATGAATGACTGTTCGGCTCCCTCACTCTGACCAGTATTATTTGTACTCGTGAGACGAACAAGATGAAGCATCTAACTACTAAGAATGCGAATGCTATCACACATGATAAGATGAGTCGTACTAATAATAAGGAATGATACTGGGAATACAAACGATACTAACAAGACGACGGCCACTATCACTATTACTACTATTACTACTATTCTTATTATTACTACTACTACTACTCATACAACCACGCATATTATTATTACTACTACTACTGCTACTACTACTATTACTACTACTACTACTGCTGCTGCTACTACTACTACTACTACTACTACTACTACTACTACTATTACTACTACCTCTACTACTACTACTACTACTACTACTACTACTACTACTACTACTACTACTACTACTACTACTACTACTACTACTACTACTACTACTACTACTACTACTACTACTACTACTACTACTACTACTACTACTACTACTACTACTACTACTACTACTACTACTACTACTACTACTACTACTACTACTACTACTACTGCTACTGCTACTGCTACTGCCTCTGCTTCTACTACTACTACTGCTACTACTACTACTGCTACTACTACTTTTATTGCTACTACTACTACTACTATTACTACTACTACTACTACTACTACTACTACTACTACTACTACTACTACTACTACTACTACTACTACTACTACTACTACTACTACTATTCCTACTACTACTACTACTCCTACTACTACTGGTTTACCCAGGCATTTATTTTCTTGGCAATTCCATGGACTATGCGTAGAATGCGACGCAGGTCTACGAACCTGCCGCGCCTGTCTCACGGATTCGGCGAGAAACTCTTTGTTGGGGTAAGTCGATTCTGTAGTCGATCCTGTACTCGATCCCTCCTGCTTTTCCTTTTTCTCAACCTTGTGCCTTTGGTTTTTGGGTCAGACTTCGGGCGGCGAGCGGGGGAAGATTGACGAGACGTTTGAGCATCAGCAGGACAGGGAGGAGAGCGTCAAGAAAAGGAACACCATCGGAGAAGGAGGAGGAGGAGGCCAAGGAGCCTCGCGGGTGTTCTTAGTCTGGCCCTGCCCGGAGGAAGAGGGGGTTGGATCAGAAGGAGGAGGTGGTGGAGGAGGATGGCTTCGATCAGACAGCATCTCTCTCTACGTCGCATCAGCCTTCGCTTCCAAAGCATACTGCGCAATACCACTGACCATAGCTTCCTTCCTCCATCTGTCGGCCCTCCATGGCCCGTGATGATGTCTGCTCTACGACGTAACGACGTCTGCTCTACGACGGCAACGGGACGACGGTAATGATGGTGATGATGATGGTGATGATGATGCTGCTGCTGATGACGACGACGACGATGACGACGAGTACGACGACCTCGACGACCACGACGATGACGACGCACACGACGACGACGCCGACGCCGACGCCGACGCCGACGCCGACGCTGACGCAGACGTCGACGCCGCTGATGACAGCGACGACGACGAAGCGACGACGAAGCGACGACGAGGACGACGACGACGGTGACGGTGTCGCCTACCACGACGACGACGATGACGATGAGGATGATGATGCTGATAATGATGATGACGACGACGATGAGGATGATGCTGATCACGACGATGATGCTGATGATGCTGCTGATGCTGCTGATGAGGATGAGGAGGATGCTGATGCTGATGATGCTGATGCTGATGCTGATGCTGACGATGATGATGATGATGATGATGATGATGATGATGATGATGATGATGATCATGATGAGGACGACGATGACGACGATGACGACGACGACGACGGCCGGTACGGCTTTGACGACGACGACGGTGCGCCGACGACGACAACGACGCCGACGCTGACGCCGACGCCGACGCCGACGCAGACGCAGACGCCCGCGCTGCTAACGACGGCGACGAAGACGAAAGCGACGACGAGGACGACGACGACGACGACGACGACGGTGACGGTGTCAACCACGACGACGACGATGACGATGAGGACGAGGACGAGGACCACGACGACGATGATGATGATGATGATGATGATGATGATGATGCTGATAATGAAGAAGATGATGATGCTGATCATGGTGCCGTTGATGCTAATGATGATGATAATGGTGATGTTGACGATGCTGATGATGATGCTGCTGATGCTGCTGCTAATACGGATACTCTGATTTTGCCGACGGCGACCACGACGACCACGGCGACGATGTTGCTGCTAATGTTGCGGGTTTTGTTGGTGATGGTGATGAGATGATGATGATGATGATGATGATGATGATGATGATGATGATGATGATGATGCTGGTGATGATCAGGCTGACGCGGATGATGCTGGTGATGCTGCTTATTATTGTTCGTATTATTATGTTTTCTAATTTGTTATTCTGCTTATTCGCATGATTAATATTCTCATATTGAGGATGCTGCTGCTGATGATGATGATGAGCATATTGATGGTGATGCTGATGCTGATGATGCTGATGATGGTGATGGCGCTGCTGCTGCTGGGGATAATGGTGATGATGGTAATGCTGATGCTGATGCTGACGATTATGATGCTGCTGCTGCTGCTGCTGCTGATGATGATGATGATGATGATGATGAGGATGCTGATGCTGATGCTGATGATGATGATGCTGATGATGATGATGATGATGATGATGATGATGATGATGATGATGATGATCGTGCTCATGTCAGTGCTGATGGTGTGCTTTGGTATGCTTGTGTGACTATAATGATGATGAGGAGGAGGAGGAGGAGGAGGATGAAGAGGAGGAGGAGGAATACTAGGAGGAGGAGGGTCAGTGTTAGCCCAAGTTTCATTAAGGATGTTGCAATACACCCTCCCTCGAAGGTCCTCTTCTCATGAGTCCCTAAAGCAATGAATTTTCATTGCAGTGGCCCATTGGAAGACAACCGGCTGAGAATCCTCAATCGTATCAGGAACCGCTTCCTGGACTGTCCAAGCCGCGGAGCAATATGCCTGTTGCGTTCTCACAGTCCTCAATCGTGCCAGAACAGCGGTCCTGAGATTTCAACATCGAGAGTGAACGCGACTGGTGCGTTCTGACAACCCTGGGTCGTGCCAGAGAGCCATTTCTGGGACTTCAACCTTCTGCTATCTCTTGAAGCTGTTGCAGATGTTCAAGACGAATGTGCGCAGCGCTAAGGCGAGATCCAAAGTTTGGAAAGGAACCGCCCTCGATCATTGAAGCTGCTGCTCAGACGAATGCGCGCGGCGCAGAGGCGAGATTAGACGAATGTGCGCGGCGCTAAGTCGATAGCCACATTTCGCAAACCACCCGCTCTGCATCCGTGAATCTTTTTGCCAGTTTTGAAGCTCCAAGAGCATAAACGGCGAGGAAGTCTCAGCTGACATGCCCGGCCCGCCCTACCGACACGTGTGGGGGCGAGACAGGGAGGAGCTATTTAGATGGCACAGGGGTGGAGGAGCAGGAGGAGGAGGAGGAGGCGGAGGAGGAGAAGGAGAGGGAGGAGAAGGAGGAGGGGGAACGATGCAGGCAGAACTGGCAGGCGCAGTGCAGGGGCGATCAGGGTGGGCATCCTGGCCAGGCACCTCGAGACCTCCAGCCGCCCATCTGCGATGATCATGATGTCGCTCAAGAAGCTCGGGGAGGGTCTTCCACTGGGCAGGCACCCCCCGAAGCTGGTGAGGGAGTCTGCATTTCAGTCGTCGTCGTCGTCGGGCTCCCCCGCGTCCATCAACTCGCTGCTCCTCCCCCCCCTGCCTTCTCCATTCTTCCTCGCGCCCCCCACCTCCAGCCCGCCTCTGATCCGGAGGTCTCTGGAGGCCTCCAGCGGTCTGGAGGTCCCACGAGGCATCTTAAGGTCCCAAGAGGCACACGGGCCAACAGCGGTCCAAATCTGATTCCACGTCTTCCTAAATTCCTTATCGCTTCATCCTCCACTGCGTGGACGATGATGACAGCGACGACGGCGATCACGAGGACTGCCAAGGCAAACTAACGAACTGACGACGACGGGAGCGACAGAACACGACAGGACGACAAAAGCGGTTCGCCAATGAGCACAAGGGGAAGGGAGACGGGGGAGGATGGGGAAGAGGAGGAGGAGGATGAGACGACGGCTACGACCGCAACGAGGATGGGGAGGAACGGACGGGGGCAGGAGGGGCAGGAGGGAGGGTGAGACGAGGATCCGCCGACGACGACGACAACGAAGGCGGCGACGGCGACGGCGACGACGTCGACGACGACGGTGACGACGATGGGGGCGGCGACGACGGCGGCGGCGGCGGCGGCGACGACAGCGGCGCGACGCGCGCGGAGGCCTGGGCCACCTGCGCCTGGGTGCTGGCTCGAGAAGCAGAAGCGTCAGGAGAAGGCCCCGCTGCTCGGAGCGCGCGCCGTCTTGCCGGCGAGGCTCCAGGAGGGGAGGCGAGGAGTAGGGAGAGAAGAGGATGGAGTGAAGAGGGGAGGGAGAGGGAGGAGTGGGGGCAAGGGGGAGGCCTATAGGAGAGAGGGGGGCGAGGGAGCAGTGGGGGAGGGGCGGAGAAGTGGAGGAGAGGCAGGAGCGGGCCCCGTCGTCCTGGCCGCCCTCCCCGGGCGGCCCTCCGGCGCTCCTGCGGCCGGGCCCGACGGAAAACAGAAGGGGGGATAGGGAAGGGGGGGGGGTCACGACACCTGCTGCGTGCAGCTGTGGGCTCCCCTCCCCCCCTCTCCTCCCCCCCTCTTCTGTCTTCCGTCGTCCTTTGTTTTGTCTTGTTTCTCTCCCTCTCTCTCTCTCTCCCCTCTCCCCCGCCGCCGGGCCCATTCCTCGACACATGGGCGCCTCCCCGCGCCAGGGGGCGCCAGGACCACCGGCCACGTGAGCCGATTCTCTGCCCTGCCCTCTCTTACCGAGCGCGGTCCACTGCTCGCAAAGAGCCCACTCGCGAGCGTCTGGAGTACACGCGACCGACTCGGTGCCGTGGGCCGCCAAACCCCCGCGACGGCTCCGGGCAGTCTGCGAGTAGTCCTAAGTCGGGCCTGTCCCGCTACAGGGGGGTTCTGGCCGAAACATGAAAGATACCCAAAACATATTCCCAGAGTGCCAAACAGCAGTCCAGAGACAGTCCCCAGACTATTTTTTGACTGTTTTTGAATACTCCCCCTTTAGAGGGACAGGCCCGACTTCAGAGCAGTCGCACTGCGAGAGCTGGAACGCGCTTGCCTGCCCTCGCCCCGCCGGCTCGCGCGGCCCGTCGGCGTCACCCCGGGCAGCCGTCGCTGGCCCCGCGGCGGCACTCGGACGTCGGAGAGCCCCCTCGGGAGGCCCGCGGCGGCCTCTCTCGGGGCGCCCTCGGCGGCCTTCGGAGGCCCCTGGCGGCCATCGGTCGGCTGCGTTCGGCGGCGTGCTGCCATCGCCGTCGCCGTCGCCGTCGCCGTCGCCGTCGCCGTCGCCGTCGTCGTCGTCGTCGTCGTCGTCGTCGTCGTCGTCGTCGTCGTCTTCGTCGTCGTCACCACCGTCGACGCCGCCGTCGTTCGCGCCGTCGACGTCGAGGGTCGAGGATCGAGGGAATGAGGACAACTACATGACAGATTTGGGCGTGATCGTCTGCGCTTGTTCGTTGTCGTCTTCGTGTTTTGTGATTTGCTTCTCGTCGTCAATCGTTTGTTTGTACGGCGTCCTCGTGGTAAACCTTCCGCCGCCGCCGCCGCCGTCGTCTTCGTCGTCGTCGTCTTCGTCGTCGTCGTCGTCGTCGTCGTCGTCGTCGTCGGTAGACACTGTCACCGTCGTCGTCGTCGTCGTCGTCGTCGTCGTCGTCGTCGTCGTCGTCGTCGTCAATCGACACCGTCGCCGTCGTCGACGTCGTCGTCGTCGCCGCCGCCGCCGCTGCCGCCCCCGTCGCCGTCGCCGTCGCCGTCGCCAGCTGCTCTGGCTCAGGCGGGGGCGGACGACAAAGACAAGGAGAGGGATCGCGACGGGCACCGCGACAAGGAGCCCCTCCCAGACATGCGGCGTCTTGATTTTGCCACTGCGGAGACCCCAGCAGTCTGGACCCCTTCCCCCCAGACCCCATCGCGGCCTCCAGGGGCCCTTGCCAGGCCTCGGGGCCGTCAACAAAACGACTCGGGACGAGGAACTGGTCCCGAGGAGTGGGTCGAGACCGCTGGGGGTCTGGGTCCAGGGTTAAGTCGGGCCTGTCAAAAGATAGCCTGGGGACGATTTTTGGACTAGTGCTGAGCATTTCTGGAGTATTTTTGGATAATTCTCCATTCTCCGACCAAGATCCCCCTGGGACATCCCCCTGTAGGGGGAAACCGACATCCCCCCTGGGACAGCCCCCTGTAGGGGGACAGGCCCGACCGAAGGCCAGGGCCGGTTCTCCATCTCGGGTGGTCTTTTTGACGGCCTCGGGGCACGGCGAGGGCCCCCACGGGGGCCGAGCGCGGGGAAGAGCCTCCCGTCGTCGGACGGGGCTGGGATGAAGTCGGGCCTGTCCCTCCACAGGAGGAATTCTCGGGGGCGGCAAAGAGGGGGGTGATGACTAGGGGGGGGGGGATATCATGGCGGGGGCCATGATATTTCCTCAGATTTTATGGCGCCTCTTCTTATTTCATTGCGTCCCTGGCCCCCCAGCTGGGCCGCACACATGCCGCCGGTCATGATTTGCGTTCCCCCCTCCTGGACACCCCCCTCTTGCCCGCTCCCGAAATTCTCAAGAATAGTTTAAACTATAGTCTGGGGACGAGGTTTTTAGTACTCTTCATTTTTTTGGATCATTCTTTGACCATCTTCTATGTTTCGTCCAAAATCCCCCTGTGGGGGAACACGCCCGTCTTGAGGCTAGGACGAGGATCCAGAGCGTTCCGGAACGCTCTCAGAGCGTGCCGCAAACGCTGTGAGACGTCCGCGGCGCCCGAGGCCTTTGTCCAGAGCTACGGCATTTCAGAGATGCTCGATGGAGCCTCCCCCACTGCGGGAGGTTTTCCCTGTTTTCGGCCTCTGGGGGCTCTCGCCGCGGGAGGGCCAAAACGACACTGGATGAGACACGGGGGTCCCAGGGAATAGGTCCAGACCTCTGGCGGTCGACATGGTGAAGAAAACACAAACTGGGGGTACGGGCAGAGAGTGTTAGTTTACCCTCTGAGGGCGCAATGTGCTTTATGCCCCCCCCCCTTTCCCCCCATCCCCTCCCCCCCATAACTTAACGCTCTCCCCCCCCAGTGCGTCCCCAGCACTGCCGCAGTGCGTCAGGGTCACAGCCTGTTTCGCCCGACCCACACGGCGGGGAGGGTCGTTACGTTATGCCCACTCCCGTCTCTCTTCCCCCGTGACGCCCGTTATTGCCGCGAATAACCTCGATAAGTATATCATCATTATTACTACGACTACTATTACTACTGCCATTCTTATTATTATTACTCTTGTTAGGATTATTATTACTACTACTACTACCGTTACTTCTGCTACTACGAAGACGACTACGCCTGAGCCTACATATGCCTGCGCCCACGCCTACGCTTACTACTACTACTACTACTACTACTACTACTACTGCTGCTACTACTACTACTACTACTACTACGGCTACTTCTACGACAAGTCTTACTACGAACATTACTACTACCACCACTACTACGACGACGAAGACGACGAAGACGACGACTATTCTTATTACTACGACTATTACTACTACCACTACTACTACTTGTGTATGGCCACGACTACTACTAGTACTAGTACTAGTACTAGTACTAGTACTAGTACTAGTACTAGTACTAGTACTACCACTACTACTATCACTATACATATTTCCTCTGCTGCTTTCATTACTGTTACTACTTCTTCTACTCATGCTACTACTATTCTTTCTTACTACCTGTGTTGTTACCACCACTACTGTTATACTACTGCTACTACTACGATCACTATTCAAACTACTACTACTACTACGACGACTACTACTATTACTATTACTACTACTACTACGACGACTACTACTACTGCTCGTATTAGTATTACTCTTACGACTTGTGCTACTACTGCGACTGCTGCTGCTATTATTCTTTTTATTCGTATGATTCGTATAACCACCACTACTAGTAGCATTATTATCCCGATTGCTAATGTTATTGCTATTACTATTGCTACTCGTGTTACTGCTGCCACTACTACCACTATAATTAATATTACTACCATGGCTACTACTACTACTACTACTCCTACTACTACTTCTTCTACTACTACTACTACTTCTACTACTACTACTACTACTACTACTACTACTACTACTACTACTACTACTACTACTACTACTACTTCTACTTCTACTTCTACTACTACTGCTACTACTACTACTACTACAACTACTAAGTCAACAACTACTACTACTTCTATTACTTCTATCGTAGTGGTCGTGGACGTCGTCGTCGTTGTCGTCGTCGCGGCAGATGTTTTTACATTTTTTTTCCTTCTAGTGCTGGGAGGACTGGGTGCTGTTTGGGGAACCCTTCCCCCGGGGAGTAACCCATTGTGGGTACCCTACACGCGAGAGGATTGGGGAGTATCTTCTCATGAGGACTGCAATCGAAAAAGGTGGTTGTGATTGTAGTCATCATTGTAGTCGTAATCGTCGTCGTAGTTGTAGTCGTAATCGTAGTCGTAATCTGAGTCGTAGTCGTAAGCGTCGTCGTCGCCGCGATAATGTTTGGGCTTTCTTTCTCAAAGAGAAGCTCCCTGGGCGATCCTGCACGACAGTGGATTTTTGAGCACGTTTCAGAGGATTGCAGGACACATTTTTCGCCGAAGGCGTTGCTCACAATCTCCTCTTCCATCTCATTGTCGTCGTCGTCGTCGTCGTCGTTGCTGTGCGGCGGGTGCCGCGGAGAATTGATTATCTTCCCGTCAGTGGTGGGGCCCCAGTTCGTCAATAAGGGCGTCGATAGGATAATTCGTTCCCACTCTTTGCGGGGGGGGGCTCTCTAAAGACTTCTAGGGTTTGAGCGCATGATCTCCTAGAGCCCAGGCCCCGTCGCGTCGTGACAGTAGTCGCGATAAAAGGCTTGTCACTGTTCCCGTCCTCTGGGGGCCTCCGCTGGGATCCTGGGCCGGTGAAAACGATTCAGGAATGGAAAGCAGGGGCCCGGGAAGGGGTTCAGACGTCTGGCGGTCCACGACGTTTTCTTTGTTCGCTATCTTCGGCCTCCGGGGGCCCTGAGCGGGTCTCTGGGCCGTCCAAGAAAGATTCGGGACGAGAAACCGGTCCTGGGGAAAGGGTCGAGACCCTGGGGTTCGGCGTCGTGTTCAAAATCATGACGCCGGGGGTCCGTCCTGGGGAAAGGCCCACATAGGCCCGCGTAAGGCCGGGGGAGGCCTGGAGTCCCAGGGAGGCCCTGGCTGTGCTGGTTGGGCTGGCCGGGGAGAAGGGGGAGGCGGTGCTTGTCAGGGCGTGTGTTCGCCCCCCGGGTGCCTGCCCCGTCCAGCTCCCCATGGGGGCACGCAGGCTGTGCCGGCCCTCGTTTCGCCGCCCGCGTCGCATCGAAGGGCTTCGGCGGAGAAGCACACACTGGCGCTGACGCGCTCCCTCCGAGGAGCATCGAGCAGGGCTCGGCGCGGCAAGGGGAGGGAGGAGGAGGAAGGAACAGGACAAGTGGGAATGGGGGATGGGTAATTACCTGGTGGGAAGGGTGTGTGTGTGTGTGTGTGTGTGTGCCTTTCTTTTGTGCGCCTCCCGGATCTCGCGCGAACCGCGCTCACGGTGCCGCCGACACATTTGGTCTAATGCTCGCCGTTGCGCGGCACGATGGGATGCGGCTGCGCACGTGCAGATAGATTACCCGCTCGTGTGGTTGGTGCTGGTGTGAGCCCATACGTAATCACAGCGCCACGACGTTCCTCAGTCCGGGCCTCTGCATGCCAGACATCATCAGGAGCGAAGAAAGGAGGCATACGTACATGAATTCACGCTGGTTTCGAGAGTTCGCATTGCGCGAATGTTCGTATCACGGGGCCGGTCTCGCGGGTCGAGGGGCTGTGTTCATGCACATAGCTGGGCGCGTGCGTCTTTTGTGGGCTCCCTGTATCAGCCCCAGTATGATAAAAAGACAGCCCGCGACGAATAGACGACAGGGGATGGGGTAGACAGGTGCGGCGGGACACGGCATAACAATTGCGTGGCGTCGGAACTGTTGGCGAACAATGAAATATATGGATGGCGATGCCAAGCAAGCGACTTACACACTCGAGCGGGAGAAGAGAGAGCAAGAGAGAGAAAGAGAGAGAGAGAGAGATAGAGAGAAACACAAAAAGAGAGGAAGAGCCCCAGAGGAGAGAAAACCACGATGAAGATGAGGATGAGGATGATGAGGATGAGTACGTGGTGGTGGTGGCGATGATGATAAGGACGGTGCTCATTATGATGATGCTGATGATGATGCTGATGCTGCTGCTGCTGATGATGATGATGATGCTGATGCTGATGCTTATGCTGCTGCTGATGATGATTATGATGATGACGATGCTGATGTTGCTGATGATGGTGATGGTGATGATGCTTATCATGATGATGATGCTGATGCTGCTGCTGATGATGTTGATGGTGCTCATGCTGATGCTGGTGCTGATGCTGATGATGATGCTGCTGATAATGATGATGCTGATCATGATCAGCATGATGGTGATGATGATGATGATGGTGATGATGATGATGATGATGACGACCACGGTGGTGGTGGTGGTGCTGGTGAGGGTGATGATGATGTTGCTGATTATGATGCTGATGCTGATGCTGCTGATGATGTTGAGGATGATGATGATGATGATGATGATGATGATGATGCTGATGATGTTGATGCTGATGCTGATGCTGATGATGGTGATGCTGCTGACGATGATGTTGATGAACATGATGAGGATGATGAGGATGATGAGGGTGATGATGCTAATGATGATGCTGATCATGATGATGATGATGATGATGATGATGATGATGATGATGATGATATGATGATGATGATGATGATGATGATGATGCTGATGATGGCGATGATGATGATGCTGATGATCATGATGATGATGATGCTGATGCTAATGCTGATGCTGCTGCTGATGATGATTACGAAGATGATGACGATGCTGATGTTACTGATGCTGGTGATGATGATTATGATGATGATGATGCTTATCATGCTGATGATGCTGATGCTGCTGCTGATGATATTGATGGTGCTCATGCTGATGCTGGTGCTGCTGCTGATGCTGATGCTGCTGATGATGATGCTGATCATGATCAGCATGATGATGATGATGATGATGATGATGATGATGATGATGATGATGATGATGATGATGATGATGATGATGATGATGATGACTGATGATGATGATGACGACGACCACGGTGGTGGTGGTGATGGTGGTGGTGGTGAGGGTGATGATGATGCTGATGCTGTTGCTGATGCTGATGCTGCTGATGCTGCTGATGATAATTATGATGCTGATGCTGATGATGATGATGCTGATGATGATGACGATGACGATGATGATCATGATGATGATGACGATATGATGATGATGATGATGATGATGATGATGATGATGATGATGAATGATGATGATGATGATGATGATGATGATGAGGCTGCTGATGCTGATGATGATGCTGCTGCTGATCTGATGATGATGCTGATGATGATGATGATGATGATGATGCTGATGATGGATGATGATGATGATGATGATGATGATGATGATGATGCTGCTGCTGATGATGATGAGGATGAGGATGAGGATGAGGATGAGGATGAGGATGATGATGATGATGATGATGATGATGATGATGATGATGATGATGATGATGATGATGATGATGATGATGATGATGATGATGATGATGATGATGATGATGATGATGATGATGATGATGATGCTGATGATGCTGATGATGCTGATGATGCTGATGATGCTGATGATCATGATGATGACGGCTATGGTGGTGGTTTTGGCGGTGAGATGAGGACGGTGGGAGGAGCAAGAGGAAGAGGCCCGGAGGCGAGAGTGCCCGCCCCCACCTGGCTGCGAGGGCGGCCGAGACCGCGACAGGGATCGTGACCGAGGCGGCCGCGCTCGCACCGCCCCTCGCCGCCGCCGCTGCCGCCGATCGGGGGGGAGGGAGGGCGAGGAGCACCATCTTCTCGGAGGAGGGAGGGGGAGGAGGAGGAGGAGGAGGAGGAGGAGGAGGAGGAGGAGGAGGAGGAGGAGGAGGAGGAGGAGGAGGAGGAGGAGGAGAGGAGAGGAGGAGGAGGAGGAGGAGGAGGAGGAGGAGGAGGAGGAGGAGGAGGAGGAGGAGGAGTCCCTGCGTGCTCGTCCTCGTCCTCCTGCCCCTCCTCGTGATTCTCCGCCCCTCCTCGTCCTTTTGTTCTCTTCTCCGTCCTCCTCCCCCTCCTCGTCCTCCTCCCCCTCCTCGGCCTTTTCTCTTCCTGCTCCTCCTCGTAATTCTCCACCCCTGGTGGGGGGTCCGGCTAGGGCCGCTGGGGATCTCGCGCCGCGCGGGGTCCTCCATTTTTGGTTGTCGTTCCTCGGCGAGGGCGGCCCAGGCTCGGCGCCTCAGGCTGAAGTAGGCTTCGGGCATCATTGCGCTCATGGAGTCTTGTTGGTCCTGCTCTGGATAGTCTTGGGTCGTCCTCCTCCTCCTCCTTCCCCTCCTCCTCCTCCTCCTCCTCTTCCTCCTCCTCCTCCTCCTCCCCCTCCTCATCCTCCTCCTCCTGCTGCGCCACTTCTCCTCCTCCTCCTCCTCCTCCTCCTCCTTCTCCTCCTCCCCTTCTCTGCTCCAGATCGCCTGGAGGGCGTCACTTCTAATGCTTGGATGTATTCGGATGCCTTTCGCGGTGTCATATGGCAGCCATATTGAGGCCACGTAATCCGTGAGGATCATTGGGTCATCTTGGGGCCGTCTAGTGGCCGTGGGTTCGTCACGGGGTCGGTCATCTTGCGGGCACTGTGGGGCTATCTCTAAGCCACTTGTTTGCCCTTGAACTTTTTGGGTTGAACGGTCACTCCCAGAGACGACTCCCATGGTGTTATCTTGGGTTCACAGTACAGCTGTTCAGGTTGTCGTGATGCTGTATTGAAGGCATTATTTATCGGGTCATGTGATCGCATTGGGATCATCTTGATATTGTGTTTTGATCATGGGATACAATCTTCGAGCCATCTTGGAATGTACCGACTATCGACCATCGAGGATCGACCAGATCGAGGACCGCAGATCGAGAACCGCGGATCAAGCATCGAGGTGCGAGGAGCGAGCAACCACCTTCCAGATGGCCCTGCAGACATCAGGAGAAGGCAGGGCTGGAGCGAAGGAACACGACAGGAAACAAGAGGCAGAACAAGCGAGATGGGAGGAGCACGAGATATACTTGGCATCGCTCGGACGTGTGCATTTTTCCTTCGGCAAGGACCATCGAGGAGCATCCTTGATCATTCGGCGAAAAAACCACGCACGAAACCGAACAAAACGATGGGAAGGGACGTCGGATCGATGGCCAGTATAGTTAAAGATGATATCACATTTTCCGTCAAGACAGCAATCCAGCAACAGTCACGCAGTTTGGCGCTCCGAAGCGGCCAGCAGTCTTTTCCATTTACCTGGGCGCATCCGCAGCAGCTCGTGCGTTTCGCTCGCAGCCGCTCGCAGCAGTTGAACGGCCCAACGGCAGGGCCCACGCTGGGGCGCGGCTGACTCCGCAAGTCGAGCGCCAGCATTATTTGCCCGCTTCGCTCATACCGCCAGCCCATATTGCGTGCCTTAGAGGCCTTTTGGGACCTCCTGGGGCCTCTTGGGGGCCTCTTTTGGGCATCATTGGGGCCTTTTGCGAGCCTCTTGGAGGCTTCCTGGGGCCTTTGGGGGCCTCTCGGGGCCGAGAGCTGAAGCGTCCGTTCGGGTGCCTCGTCAGGGCCCGCTATTGGAGCTCTCTTAGGGGTCTTTTGGGCCGTCTTGGAGGGCTCTTGGGTTGTCTTCGGGCTCTCTGGAGCCGTTTTGGGGCACTCTTGGAGGCGTCTTGGGCCGTCTTGGGCGTGTTTGAAACAACCTGAAGAAATCAATTTATTTTTGCCTTTGGCGGCCCTCTTGGCGAGGGCTCTTGGTGTCCACATGGGGCGTCTTGGACCGATCGTTCGACGACTGGGAGCTCTCTTGGACCTTCTTGGGGCCTTGTGGGTCCCTCTTGGAGCGCTCTGGAGGGCCTGAAGGGCCGCGCCCAGCAGGCAAACAATTTCTGACCCGAACCCGCCGGGGTACTTTTCGCCCAGGGGCCCTAAGAGGCCGCCCCGCGCGCGCGAAGTACAAATCTTGTAACACAGTTGCCGGAGATCTTAGCAAGCCTCTGGCCCGTTGGGCCTGCGAATATAAAGCTACTGCTAGGTGCGGGTGCACTGCCACGTTGGAAAACAACGAAATCAGCGCGACGGTCTGAAAATCAACGCAGTCCTCATCGTCTTCGCTACCATCCTATCATCATCGTTGCTGTTGTTCTCCGCATCATGTTCAGCAGCATCTGCGCCATCGTTTCCATCATGACAGGCCGTCGTGGTGCGGCCACACGTGCCGTATTTCTGAAATAGTTGCAGCAGTGAGCTTGCCGGTGCCCGGGGGGTCTTTCTGCGCGAGATGAGTCCGCAGGCACCGTCGGCGGCCCGCCCCCCCC